ACCCCTTTTCTTCCAGAAGGAGGCTGGTCGCCCAAATCCAGCCCCCGATTTTCTTTGTTTTCACCAACACACATGCTCAGTGAACAAGGCCAGAAGAAAGCGATCTATCAAAACTAAACTTTTCAACCAACGGGTTCTCAGCCTTTTGTTTTGATTTCCTCACCAATGGGGTGGGAGGAAAGAGGGTACTGAATATTTTAAAGGTTCTTTTTAGGATGAAAACAGTGTCACACAGCAAAACATGCACCTTTATCTGCTACGACATTGGGTAGTCCAACAAGCCAGCCTTGCAGCTCCTTGCAGCGGCCTCAAAGCATCGCGAGAGCAGGGAGTCCGTCTTCTTCAGCTCTGTGCCCAGCACCTGGCAGTGGGGAGTTTCGGTTGTTGATAAAAACAGCCTCAAAGGCTGGGAGGCGTACGGGGTTTTTAAAAGGTAAATGATGTAAAGAGCAAGACACAGTCTCCGGGTTCTTTTACTTTTCCACAGTGTTCCCCAAGGGTCAGTGCATCATGGACCTTTCTTAGCAATTCTCACCAATCTTGAAGGGCCGTTGATGTGGACTTTTTCAGAAGACTGACCTTGCCAAGTGCAAGGATTGACCTTTATGATAATATCTCCTTCAGACTTAATACCAGTGGGTTTCTGTCGCCTTGATGTTTCGCTGTCATAGAACTTAGCCTCCTTGATTTTGTTGTCTATTTATGTTCATTCTTAACCTTGGATCATAACTACAGGGGACCATGTCCTTCTTGTCCATATTGCAATTCTAGTGCTTCATGAAGGGCTTAATGTTTATTGGGAGATAAAAGAATGGAAGGAAGGAAGGAAGGGACGGAAGGAACGGAGGAAAGGGAGGAAGGAGGGAGGGAGGGAAGAAGGACAGTAGAGGGATCTGAAACTTGCGAGAACTTCTGAGCAAATTCTCTGATTATGACTTAAAGTAGAACGAAGGGCACCGGTTAGAGCATTTGAAGACATGGATGTGAGTCTACGGTTTTGAAAATTCTTAACGAACTCTTACTTATGGGGCAGCAACTTCAACCCCTGTGCCACGTGCTAGAGAAACATGAGTCACCACCCTTGACCTTGAGGAACCAGATGTTCAGGATGCAACTTTCCTAACACGCTCCCATAGTCCGTGTCATCCAGGAGCTGCCTTGGTGAGTGTGGGAGCTTCGATATTTACCAACAGGAGATAGAGCTATTGGCTGATGGCCCTGAGCAAGACTCTTAAACTCTAAGGCTACATGTGAATGTATGAAAACACTGGCTGAAGGGTTAAGTCTTACATCATTATAAAGAAATGATTAAGTGACGTATGTTACAGGGGCATTTAGTAACATTATATATTACAGGTTCTTATCCCTACATTTTCGCCTGATCCAGAAATCCTCTCTTGAAACGTAAGACAGGTATTTCCTTTGCTTGAATGTCACCAGGCAGCTTGCTACCGTCTGGGGCAGTCCTTCTGAGCCCTGGACAGCTCCGGAGGCCACGTCCTTCCTGGTACTGAGCTTGTGAGCCATCCTCACCATTTTCCTGCTGTCTATGACCAAAGGGATCTTTAAGATCTTTGCATCTTCAGCAGGTGCTAGAGAGTGGGGTTTCCCAGGTGGGACAGTTATGAGTGACCTTCCACATTGACCTTGCCTGGGAAGGATGGCTCTTAGCAAATTGAGGGGTAACGACACGTTTAGGGATTTGTCTCTGGGTGAGAAGTAGGGAGAAAACACCATTTCTGGCTTTAATTTTGTGGGAACTACAGATTGGAGCCAGCTTGTCATGTCCAGGAGCCCGGACACAGCTTGAAATGGGCATCCACAGGGGAGTCAGAGAAACCTTGGTCCCATCCTGCTTGCATTGGTTAGTGCCTGTGTCCCTTGTTAGCGTAACCACATATCCCAAAGGAGAGAAGAGACCTCATCAGAAAATCATGAAAACAACACAAATTAAATAAAGGAGGTATGCAAAAATGCCACAGACAGAACTGGCATTTAGGAGTCTTAGCTGCCCGAGAGTGTCAGCTCGCTTTCCTTCCTTCTCCAATTTGACCCTAAGTGGCCTGAGTTTATTTGTCTCGCAGCATGCTCGGCAAATGTAGAACAGCTCCTTGCAATTCAAGGCAGCAGGCCCTGCAGTGGAGCAGCACTTCACAGTTTGCAAAGCAGTTTTATACAAATTCCAGGGTCACACTGCAGCCTTAGGGCTGCCTTCCGGGCTGGGGGAGGGGACTGTTGTTATCTTTAACTCATTTTTCTAAAAGTGGGAAGTAAATCTGAGGGCAGTTAAGGATTTTCCCAGGCTACACTGCGGGCAAATAATACCTAGATCTTTGGCATCCTTATTTTTTATTGAAACAATACCTTTCCCACACTGGACCAGCTAGCCACATACCCTTCCCCTGCTGTAAGCAGCCTTGCTGCCCCTGACACTCTTGGGGGTGGGGTGCTCTCCATACACCATCCTAGCCCCTAACATGGACATTCAACTTGGTTCTGGCCACACTCAGAGGTCTGAGCTCAGCCTTCTTGTCCGAAGGCTCAGTGGCACTGAAGTGAGTTTCCAGATAAATTCTGAGGAGCACCCCCCTTCCTAAGCCATGGGGTCACTCTTCAGACCAGGTGGGCTGATTCCTGGCTTCTCTTCCTTGTCACACATCCCAGGGACTCAGCACTGCTATGCCACACCTGCATTTGTGTTCTTCTCTCCAGTGGCACAGTCTGCTCAGCTCCCTACAGCAGCCCCTCATTTAAGGGCTTGTCTACCAATGACTGCATTGACCAAAACATGATGTAGACAAACCAGAGGACAGAGACAAAGTTCTGTCCATGCTTCACCACCTCTGTCTTTCCTGGGTGATTCTCTGATGTCCATTAGCAATGCTGCCTGTCTACTTTGATACCCGAGCCTGTAGCTCACTAATTAATCTTTTGTTCTTCCAGATAAGACTGAGTTTTCAAACTGGGCAGAACTCCAGAGACCTCTGGCCTTGGGAGGAATCAGTTGCCTTGTTAGAGACCCTCAGTCTTAAAGGTTCAGTCATCAGGATCTGTGTCAATAGGCTTTTTCACAGGCAGACCCCCCTCTAGACCACACCCTGGCACCTTAGGTCTGTTGAATCATTTCCTGTGACCTCTTACCCACAGCACTTCCTGACCTGCTCCTGGTCTTAGAATTTCACCTTATATTTACCAAGAACTTATGGTTTGGGGATAGG